CGTTTCCAAATAAGGAAAATGTTAACTTCTGAGGTGATAGCTCCCCTCCTCTGCACTAGTTTAATTAGAATCCCATGTTGAAATGGTTGAGGGGCCAGTGTAAAATTTACCTAGATGAGCTCCCTTCAAAAAGACCCTGAAACAAGCCCATGGAATATTACTCCAGATGACAGTGGCTCCATAGGGGCATACCCGTGGGAGACCAGATCTAGTTTCAGTCAAGGTATACTCTTTGCCTGGAAAGGAACAGAGAGAGAGGCACATCAGCCCCATATGTTGCAGGGCCCAGCATAATGAGAACATCATCTGGTTGGATAATCAATAAACGTAGTGTAGTTGGAGCAAATCCACACCATACCTCATGTATTCCCCTCAACTTCACTGAACAAACACATGCTGCAGGAGGAGGGCACAGCATCAAAGTGCGTGCACCTCAACTCTACTGACAGTCTTATGCTGCAGGAGTAGAAAACAAATGGCTTGTTCACTTGTTTGTTTTATAGCAAAGCCACATGGGACTATCTGCTGTGTCCAACATGGAGAATCGAACCCCAGATTTTAAAGTTTTAAGGCCAAAGACTTCTCGCTGTCACACCAGGGGACAGCACAAGTAGCATGAGTTATGTATAGGAGGGGGTGACCTACATTACACTGACAGTCACTACCATCCCATTTATCACTATATCAGTAATCCTCTGTATAGCCCCAGCTGCTGAATCCAGTCAGTGAGGATTCTACTTAGTCCACCACTCCAGCAACTAGGAACTGGTAAATGGCAAAGGTCTTCCATACTCCACTCAACGAAAGATGAGAGATTGTACTGGGAAGACCTGGATCACACACACACCACGAGAATACCTCAAGTGGTCTTGCAGAACCACAAATTTCACAATAGGCAGAGGTAGAGCCAGGGTGAGCACTTTCCATTGTTCTGGCTTGATGCAGATTTTGGGTAAATATACCCTGGGAGGTAACATCAGTTACTTGAAAGAGAAATAGCAAAGACAGTAGGGAAAATTAAAGAATGGCAACCTGTATAAACCAAAAAAACACCTAGTAATAAATTACCCAGAAAGTGCAAAAGGAGACAAATGTGTAGTGTTCACATGCCTGCCTGAAGGAGCTTGTCTAGAGAGAACAGATGTTAGAATGAAAAAGTTGATGAATCAAATGTAAAGAAATGTGAAATAGTCTGCAAGCATCCACCTCCTGAGACGAACACACCAACTGGAAGAGTTGACATACCCTTCCAGAAGGAGAAAAATAGAAGTCCCACGGTAGAGACAGATGAAGATGGAGATCCTGAAAAGATAGGTCCATGATAAGGCAGAGATCTGGTTTCAGAGGTGGTAAGGGGATGCAGGAAGTAGTATGGGCATGGTTCAGCCATGAAGACAATTCCTCGAGGAGAGGCTCATAAATGAGGACAATGGACCCCAAGAAAGAAAATCTTCAGTCTGTAAGGTCAACTGTAGAAAACATACAAGTGAATGCTCCATAGAATTGAGGGGTTCTAGTGCAGCATCAGTCCCACAGGGAGAGAACAAGAAGTGTAAAACAAGTGAAGATTAGAAGTCTGTAATTAGTTGAGAGAAGAGGAAGAAAATGCAAAAAAAAAAAGATGGGGAAAGACTGACAGAACACAGAAAACAAGTGAAGGATGGTGTCCACCACATAGATCATGGCCAAATGCATACCAGATGAAAAAGACCATAAATGGGGTCAGAGGAAGGTGGAAAGAAAATGACCAAAGAAAGAGACCAAGGATGAAAAATGAAATGGACAACAGAAGAGATGGGTACCAACAGAATAATGAGTGGGTGAAGGTCACTGACAAGAAGAGTGATGAACTAGGCTTTTGGTAAAGGGAAGATGAGAAAAGGAGGAAAGCCTGGAATCTGGAATGGGAAGGTTAAGGATAGACTGATCTAGACAAGGAATAGGAGTAAAAGGTTGGTTGGTTGGTGTTTTATGGCGCAAAGCAGCTAGGCTATCTGCGCCAAACAACCGGTAAAAGCAATG